ACCCTTGTAGGTGTTGGGTTGTTCCGGTGTTTTGGGTTGTGCCGGCCTGGTGGCGTCGCCGCCGCCGTCTGTCACAACTTTGGCCGGCTGGTGGTGCCGGGGTGGGGTGGCAGCTTTCTGGTCGAAGCAGGCGGCCTCTACAATAGTTTCGCCTCTGCTATTTTGTTGTTCTACTAGTTGTTATTCTTCTTTTGGTCGTTCGTAGCCTCTGTGTCGTTGTGCCGCTCCGCCTTGGTGGGGTCAGGCGGTGGTCCCGGGCCGTCTCGGACTTGTCCGTGCGGCGGGGTCGGACCCCCACCCCGGTATTTTTTTTTGGGGGGCGCCAGTCACGCCATCTGGTTTTTTGCCGTTGTGATTTGTGTTTTCTACATGTGCTGGTGGTGGTTGCGCTTTTGTTTGCGGCACAGCGCGTTGCGCTCTGGCTGCGGGCCCCTGCCTCCCATTGGTTGGGTTGGGCTGGCCGCCGTGGGGGGGGTTTTGGGCCAAGATGCCCTTGGTAATGAGGGCCGCCTTCATATGGTGTCGCGGTGGAGTGGATGAATTTATTCAAAGAAACTAAACTCATTCAATAAATGTTTGAAGAGGGTGGTCTCCTTAAAAAACAATTTCTCTTTTATTTTTATTTTCAATACATGCGTTCTTAGGGATGCTATTCCCCTTGGCGGCGTTTGGCCATCGAAAGTTGGAGCCAACGCCCATTATCCCCTATTATTTTGAGGGAAGCCATGGGTCAGTAAATTCTCTTTCTTGAGAGTTTACGGGTTCATAAGCTACAAACGTCATAGAGCACCGTGACCAGGTGATTCGTGCTGGGACAAAACTTTATCCAAGAAGGTCCTGGGGCGCGTGCCGGCGTGCCATCAGCAGTAGTTTCTTTTACATATTTCACTTTAGTGTGAATGCCGCTAAAAATGGAAGAAGCAGAGATAGTAACAATTATGCCCTCCAGTGGTGGAAATTAGATTTGGCCGCTGAGGGGACTCAGAGGGGCGAAAAAATCCATGTTCTGCCACCTACGAGATCCATTGTAATTTCATTACCAATTCGTACTCCCCATGCCCAACGGTAGTAAAAAATAATATAAAAACAAATTGTATTTATGTATATTTATGTATTATTCTTGATGACCCGTTCCATTGGAGTAATATCCATAAAGCCACGAATAACAAAAAGAAAGAAAAACGTGGTGGTGTGGTATGTGAGGTACTTTTTGGGTGGGGGTGGAAGGGGATATTTGTGATCGTACCCTCCTCATGTACATCAGGGGAGTGGGTGCAATTTTTTTTTTTTTTATTGGGTGATAATGTTGTGGGAGAAGAAGAGGTGAACCGGCATTCTGAGGGAAAAATAAAATAATAGTAATAAGGATAAATAAAGAGGTAATATGTGTGTGTGAGAGAGAGTAATTGTATGTTGCCTCTGTTTGTAAAGAGTGGCATGGTATTACAGTGATGTATACAGTCATTTTTTGTTATGATTGTGAGTGAGTGGGTTTTAGATTCCAATTGTGGTGTTGGTATAAATATTATGGTAATGCATTGGTTTCTTTTTCTGTTTGGAGGTGTGTTGATTATTATTGTACAGTCTCTTTGTTTTGTTAATGATTTGTGATATTGTTTTTGTATGTTGCCGGGCGTGCACTGTGTTTTTGGTGTATT